CAACTCGTCATTTACATCAGGTATAACTCCCAATGCAATCCCTCCCCCCTCCCCCCTCCCCCCTCCCCATGATAGGCCCCGGTGTGTGATGTTCCCCTTCCTGAGTCCGAGTGATCTCATTGTTCAGTTCCCACCTATGAGTGAGAACATGCGGTGTTTGGTTTTCTGTTCTTGTGATAGTTTGCTAAGAATGATGGATTCCAGCTGCATCCAAGTCCCTACAAAGGACTCAAACTCATCCTTTTTATGGCTGCATAGTATTCCATGGTGTATATGTGCCACATTTTCTTAATCCAATCTGTCACTGATGGACATTTGGGTTGATTCCAAGTCTTTGCTATTGTGAATAGTGCTGCAATAAACATACGTGTGCATGTGTCTTTATAGCAGCATAATTTATAATCCTTTGGGTATATACCCAGTAATGGGATGGCTGGGTCATATGGTACATCTAGTTCTAGATCCTTGAGGAATCGCCATACTGTTTTCCACAATGGTTGAACTAGTTTACAATCCCACCAACAGTGTAAAAGTGTTCCTATTTCTCCACATCCTCTCCAGCACCTGTTGTTCCTGACTTTTTAATGATTGCCATTCTAACTGGTGTGAGATGGTATCTCATTGTGGTTTTGATTTGCATTTCTCTGATGGCCAGTGATGATGAGCATTTTTTCATGTGTCTGTTGGCTGTATGAATGTCTTCTTTTGAGAAATGTCTGTTCATGTCCTTTGCCCACTTTTTGATGGGGTTGTTTGTTTTTTTCTTGTAAATTTGTTTGAGTTCTTTGTAGGTTCTGGATATTAGCCCTTTGTCAGATGAGTAGATTGCAAAAATTTTCTCCCATTCTGTAGGTTGCCTGTTCACTCTGATGGTAGTGTCTTTTGCTGTGCAGAAGCTCTTTAGTTTAATGAGATCCCATTTGTCAATTTTGGCTTTTGCTGCCATTGCTTTTGGTGTTTTAGACATGAAATCTTTGCCCATGCCTATGTCCTGAATGGTACTACCTAGGTTTTCCTCTAGGATTTTTATGGTATTAGGTCTAACATTTAAGTCTCTAATCCATCTTGAATTAATTTTCGTATAAGGAGTAAGGAAAGGATCCAGTTTCAGCTTTCTACTTATGGCTAGCCAATTTTCCCAGCACCATTTATTAAATAGGGAATCCTTTCCCCATTTCTTGTTTCTCTCAGGTTTGTCAAAGATCAAATGGCTGTAGATGTGTGGTATTATTTCTGAGGACTCTGTTCTGTTCCATTGGTCTATATCTCTGTTTTGGTACCATACCATGCTGTTTTGGTTACTGTAGCCTTGTAGTATAGTTTGAAGTCAGGTAGCGTGATGCCTCCAGCTTTGTTCTTTTGACTTAGGATTGTCTTGGAGATGCGGGCTCTTTTTTGGTTCCATATGAACTTTAAAGCAGTTTTTTCCAATTCTGTGAAGAAACTCATTGGTAGCTTGATGGGGATGGCATTGAATCTATAAATTACCTTGGGCAGTATGGCCATTTTCACAATATTGATTCTTCCTATCCATGAGCATGGTATGTTCTTCCATTTGTTTGTGTCCTCTTTATTTCACTGAGCAGTGGTTTGTAGTTCTCCTTGAAGAGGTCCTTTACATCCCTTGTAAGTTGGATTCCTAGGTATTTTATTCTCTTTGAAGCAATTGTGAATGGAAGTTCATTCCTGATTTGGCTCTCTGTTTGTCTGTTACTGGTGTATAAGAATGCTTGTGATTTTTGCACATTAATTTTGTATCCTGAGACTTTGCTGAAGTTGCTTATCAGCTTAAGGAGATTTTGGGCTGAGACAATGGGGTTTTCTAAATATACAATCATGTCATCTGCAAAAGGGACAATTTGACTTCTTCTTTTCCTAACTGAATACCCTTGATTTCTTTCTCTTGCCTGATTGCCCTAGCCAGAATTCCAACACTATGTGAATAGGAGTGGTGAGAGAGGGCATCCCTGTCTTGTGCCAGTTTTCAAAGGGAATTTTTCCAGTTTTGCCCATTCAGTATGATATTGGCTGTGGGTTTGTCATAAATAGCTCTTATTATTTTGAGGTACGTTCCATCAATACCGAATTTATTGAGCGTTTTTAGCATGAAGGGCTGTTGAATTTTGTCAAAAGCCTTTTCTGCATCTATTGAGATAATCATGTGGTTCTTGTCTTTGGTTCTGTTTATATGCTGGATTATGTTTATTGATTTGCGAATGTTGAACCAGCCTTACATCCAGGGATGAAGCCAACTTGATCATGGTGGATAAGCTTTTTGATGTGCTGCTGAATCCGGTTTGCCAGTATTTTATTGAGGATTTTTGCATCGATGTTCATCAGGGATATTGGTCTAAAATTCTCTTTTTTTGTTGTGTCTCTGCCAGGCTTTGGTATCAGGATGATGTTGGCCTCATAAAATGAGTTAGGGAGGATTCCCTCTTTTTCTATTGATTGGAATAGTTTCAGAAGGAATGGTACCAACTCCTCCTTGTACCTCTGGTAGAATTCAGCTGTGAATCCATCTGGTCCTGGACTTTTTTTGGTTGGTAGGCTATTAATTATTGCCTCAATTTCAGAGCCTGCTATTGGTCTATTCAGGGATTCAACTTCTTCCTGGTTTAGTCTTAGAAGAGTGTAAGTGTCCAGGAAATTATCCATTTCTTCTAGATTTTCCAGTTTATTTGCATAGAGGTGTTCATAGTATTCTCTGATGGTAGTTTGTATTTCTGTGGGGTCGGTGGTGATAATGAAGCCCACTTAAACCATATTACCTGTGGGAACTGCAGATACTGGGCAAGCAGCTCCTCTGGAGGCAAAGGCTAAGGACATGTGGAGGCATCAGAGGTATGAAACCCAACGTGGCATAAGCCACCAGTGACATGCACTCAAGAGCAGATGACAGGAGGCCTGTAGCCCCAGGGTCTGGGGAATAGCTCCAAATAGCTGCATGGATGGAATACCAGGTAAGAGGTCCTGCGTTTAGACTTGCCCAATATTCCAGAAGTACCTGTGATGGCCCACAGCACTTGACTATTGATGTTTTGGGCCAGATACTTCTTTGAGGTAGTAGTTGTCTTACATACTAAAGGATATTTAGCAGCATCCCTGGCTTCTACCCAAACATGTTTTCTCATCAACATAGCCCAATGTCCCCCTGGGAGGCAAAACATCCCTGGTTGGGAAGCAGTAATATATGAGGACAGTTTTAATTCCCTCTGGTGATCTACAGAAATAATGGCACAAGGTCAAGGGAGTGGATTTTGTGCAAGACAAAAGGTCCTTTAGTAGCCAGTGAGGAGACAAGCTGGTGAAACATGATTTACTTACATAAGGATAAAAACAACAATGGGTATGTACCCATGTTTAGGGCTCCTTACGGATGTGTGATTTCTGTTCTCAGACATAAAATAGAATAGAATATTTTGAAGTACACACTGGTAGGTGTTAGCTTCTGAATCTAAGAAGTCTAGAGATCACCCAGAGCCATCTTTGGCTCGTAGCACCTTTACACTTCATGTTCCTTCGCTTGAAACTTCCTCCCTGAGGGCCAGTACCCCTACAGCTACCTACAGCTCACTCACCTCATTCCTCTTTCCTTGACCAATTTTCCTGAATCTTTCCCTTCTCAGAACCTATTAGTTCTGGGTCTCCTTCCCTGAAGCTCTAGACTGACTGGATATCACTTCCCTGGGCCCCAGCCTGCTTAGTGGTCTATTGCTTCTTTTGGACTAACATTTCCTGAGGACAAAAGCAATATCTTATTCTCTCATGTATTCCTAGGATCTAACATGGTGTCTGGCATGTAGTTGGCAATCACAGGGTATTTGTTGAATAAATCGGTAGTTGCTTTGCAGGAAATAAGCACATCTGGGGTAATCATATTTATATTTTGTTTAAATCTCTATATCTCAACTCAAAAACAAAAAGTCAAATTCCACATGTTCTCAGTTATGCATTGGAACTAAGTCATATGTACACATGGATACAGGGTGTGTAAAAATGGACATTGGAGACTTGGAATTGTGTGTGTGTTAGGGGGTGAAGGATGAGAAAGGGGGGTGAAGGATGAGAAATTACAACACACACTCCTTGGATGATGGTTACACTAAAAGTCCAGACTTCATTACTGTGCAATATACTCATGAATCAAAATGGCATTTGTACCCTCTAAATGTATACCAAAAAACTCTCTATTTCAGCTGCTACTTAGGAATGAGTACCATTTTATGAATAAAGCACCATTGAAGTCATTGCTATTCCTTGAAGCCAAAAAAGGTTGTATTAGATTTAGAGGTAACCTGGTTAGTGCTAAAGTGCTTCATTCAAGTAATGAAACTAAAACCCACTGTATAATGTGAAAGCTGAAGAGGCCTTACTCCACTTTGAGTAGGAGATTTTTCTGTTCTGTAATTTTCAAAGCCTGCGTTTAGAAAGTTTTTTCTCATTTTATTCCATGTTACTTATTGTTCTGCTCTGTGGATTTTTTCATTAGAGGTCTATTTGTGCCTGGTTTGCCCTGCGGGAAAGGATGATACAGAACTCTCATCTGTCTCTGTTACTATGTATTATTACTTGGGCAACATCAAGGCAAATGCCATATAAATAAATAAAACACTCTTGAAGCTTCAGTTCTCACTGCTAGGCAGCAAAAAGAGCAAATGTTTAAGTTTTAAGAGATAGACTTAATGAAAAGCTGACATTTTCCCATAGTATGAGAGAAAAAGGATATTTTTCTCAAGCATTTATAATTTGGCATTGAGGATTAATAAAATATTATTGAGTCTGGCTTTGTCGTCTGTAACAATGGTTATTTGGTTTTATCACAGCCTGGAAGTCTTAGTTCTAGGGCTTAGTGTATATACCCAGCTATTGCATAATAAAATTAATCTGTTGAAAGGAACAGAATACTTTATTAGGTGAGGATGGGCAAAAGAGATTCATTTTTCATTGCTCTGAAGGCTCATTTCTGGTTAATCTCTTTTTGGTTTCCCCAGTCATATGGAGTGTCAGTAAAACCCAGTCAGAATTACTGTCTTCTGAACTCCATGCGAGAAAACTCCATTACTCTGACTCTGTTGGATCTTCCACCAGGTACTCTTCTTGGGGTAGGGTGTGGGAAGTTTCAATTGATGTATATCTTCTGTGCAGCAGATAGCTAACATGTAAATGTAGAGATTGTCAGCACAAAGAGGATAGTGCAATTATTTTAATACAAGTAGAGTAAATCTTCTCTATTTTTTTCCCCAAAAGTAAAAGAATGCTTCCAGTATTCTTTCTGTGAATACTTTCACTTCTTTCCTGGAAGGGTTGATAAATTGAGTGTTCTAGTAAAATAAACATCCTTGATAAGAGAGATTCACTACATTGTCCCTAATGTGATACGCAGACTGTCATAGCACTTGCCACATATGGATTGCAAATTTGCACATAATTAAAGTCCTAGAGCTCTAAGGACCCTATTGCAGTCAGGTACTATGTGATAGCTGTTTGCCAAAGATGGCCTCTAGTATCCATGCCTTCGCATTGTTCCTCTCATTTTGAAGCTGAGCTGATCCTGTGACTTGCTGTTGCAAGAGAAGGTGGTAGAAGTGATGATATATTTGAATTTCTGAGAGCCAGAGTTTCCACATAAGAAGTTCTGTTGCCCTGAAGGAGAGACCACATGGAGAGACAACATGAAAATACTCTATAGAGAGGTCATATGAAGAGGGGACACCCTGAGGCTACAGGGAGAGAGAAGGAAGCCCAGTTTTCCTAGGATCCCAGCTGATCCCAGCTATCCCTGCTAAGGTGCTAGCTACATGAGTGTATCCATCTTGGACATTCCATCTTGGATATTGAATATGGAGCTCCCATCTGACTGCAGTTGTGTAAGGATTTATGAGCAAGACCAGCAGAAGATGATACAGCTGAGACACAGTCAACCCACAGAATCATCGAAAATAACAGAATAATTGTTGGTTTAGCCACAGTTTTGTGGATAATTTGTTATGCACTCATAGATAACAAAGGTAGGCACCCTAAAATACGAATAATTTAGTCTAACCTTCTTATATTGTAGGTGAGGAAACTGAAGACCAGATCAATGAACTCATTTGACCAATGTTACAAAGTAATTTAGAAAAAAGTGCTGGAATTTGAACTCCCATATCTGGAGTTTTAATTACATTGTCTGTTAACCTTACTATGCTGCTTAACATATAACTGCGGCCCAGCAATTCCACTTTTGAGAATATATCATTAGGAAATAATGAGAACAAATTGTGTCTCAATATGTTCACCACAGTATGATTTATAACAAACAATTGGAAACAAACTGTAAGTAAAAGTATAGAGGAACAGTGCATTAGTTCGTTTTCAAGCTGCAGATAAAGAAACACTGGGCAATTTACAAAAGAAAGAGGTTTAATTGGACTTACAAAGAAGCCTCACAATCATGGTGCAAGGCAAGAAGGAGCAAGTCCCATCTTACATAGTTGGCAGCAAGCAAAGAGAGAAGGAGGAAGATGCAAAAGCAGAGATTCCTGATAAAACCATCAGATCTCCTGAGACTTATTCACTGCCATGAAAACAGTATGGGGGAATCACCCCCGTGATTCAATTATCTCCCCCAGGGTCCCTCCCACAACTTGTGGAAATTATGAGAGTACAGTTGCAGATAAGATTTGGGTGGGTACACAGAGCCAACCCATATCAAACAGTAAAGGGATTTCTTGTCTTTATACTTAAAGAATAACATAGCCATTAAAATAATGCTTACAAATATCATGAAAAACACGTGCCATTATGGTAAGTGAAATAAGTGTAACACTTGAAAGCAGGATACGGAATGCTTTATGTAAGACCCCCAAGTTATTTTTTTTCTTCTTCTTCTAAAGACTTGGTAGAAAAAGCAGATTGAAAAGATATCAAAAAACATTAACCATAATTATTGACAAGTAGTGATATTAAACAATGCATTTTTCTTTTTCCCATTTTTTCATGTTATTTCCATATTTTGATATTAGACACATATTTTACACTGAAAAAATGTGTAAAGAAAAGTCAGACTATGCTGACTTTAAGGCCTTTATTATTATTATTTTTATTTCTATAGGTTTTTGGGGAACAGGTGTTATTTGGTTACATGAGTACGTTCTTTAGTGATGATTTGTGAGATTTTGGTGCACCGATCACCCAAGTAGTATACAGTATACACTGAACCCGATTTGTAGTCTTTTATAACTCACCTCCCTCCCACTTCTTCCAGTACTATGTTGAACAGACATGATGAGAGTGAGCACCCGTAAGTCCCCAAAGTCCATTGTGTCATTCTCATACCTTTACATCTTCATAAATTAGCTTCTACTCATGAGTGAGAACACACACACACACATATATATACACACACAGTGAAATTGTATATATACACATTTAATTCCATAAAATTGTGGAATATATATATATATAGGAATATGTATATATGGAATATATATATATATATTCCACATTTTTTTTATCCACTCATTGATTGATGGGCATTTGGGCTGGTTTCATATTTTTGCAATTTCAAATTTTGCTGCTATAATCGTGGGTGCAAGTATCTTTTTCGTATAATGACTTCTTTTCCTACAGGTAGAAACCCAGCAGTGGGATTGCTGAATCAAATGGTAGTTCCATTTTTAGATCTTTAAGGAATCTCCACACTGTGTTGCATAGCGGTTGTACTAGTTCTAGTTTACATTCCCATCAGTGGTGTAGAAGTGTTTCCTTTCCATCGCATCCACACCAGCATTTATTATTTTTTGATTGTTTGATTATGGCCATTATTGCAGGAGTAAGGTGGTGGTGTCACATTGTGGTTTTGATTTGCATTTCCCTGCACATTAGTGATGTTGAGCATTTTTTCATATGTTTGAAGGCCATTTGTATATCTTCTTTTGAGAATTGTCTATTCATGTCCTTAGCCCACTTTTTGATGGGATTGTTTTTTTCTTGTTAATTTGTTTGACTTCCTTGTAGATATTAGTCCTTTGTCAGATGCATAGATGATGAAGACTTTCTCCCACTCTGTGGGTTGTCTTTTACTCTAATGGCTGACTTTTCCTTTTTTTGTGCAGAAGCTCTTTAATTTAATTTAGTTTAATTAAGTCCCACCTGTTTATCTTTGTTTTTGTTGCATTTGCTTTTGGGTTCTTGGTCATGAAGTCTTTGCCTAAGCCAAATGTCTAGAAGGGTTTTTCCAATGTTATCTTCTAGAACTTTTATAGTTTCGTGTCTTAGATTTAAGTTCTTGATCCATCTTGGTTGATTTTTGTATAAGGTGAGAGATGAGGATCCAGTTTTATTTTCCTGCACGTGGCTTGCCAATTATCCCAGCATTGTTTGTTGAGTAGGGGATCCTTTCTCCACTTTTATGTTTTTGTTTGCTTTGTTGAAGATCAGTTCACTGTACACATTTGAGTTTATTTATGGGTTCGCTGTTATATTCCATTGGTCTATGTGCCAATTTTTATATCAGTACTATGCTGTTTTGGTGACTATGGTCTTACAGTATAGTTTGAAGCCAGTTAATGTGATGCCTCCAGATTTGTTCTTTTTGCTTAGTTTTACTTTGGCTATGCAGGCTCTTTCTCGGTCCCATATACGTTTTAGAATTGTTTTTTTTAGTTCTGTGAAGAATGATGGTGACATTTTGATGTGAATTGCATTGAATTTGTAGATTCCTTTTGGCAGTATGGTCATTTTCACAGTATCGATTCTACCCATCCGTGAGCATGGAATGTTTTTCTATTTGTTTGTGTTGTCTATGATTTCTTTCAGCAGTGTTTTGTAGTTTTCCTTCTAGAGGTCTTTCACCTCCTTGGTTAGGTATATTCCTAAGTATTTTATTTTATTTTTTGCAGCTATTGTAAAAGGAGTTGAATTCATGATTTGATTCACAGCTTGGTTTGTGTTGGTGTATAGCAGACCTACTGATTTGTATACATTTATCTTGCATCCTGAAATTTTGTTGAATTCATTTATCAGTTCTAGGAGCTTTTTGGATGAGTCTTTAGGGTTTTCTAGGTATACAAACATATCCTATGCAAACAGTGAGTTTGACATCCTCTTTACTGATTTGGATGCCCTTTATTTCTTTCTCTTGCCTGATGGCTCTGACAAGGACTTCCAGTACTATGTTGAACAGACATGGTGAGAGTGAGCATCCTTGTTTTGTTCCAATTCTGAAAGGGAATGCTTTTCCCTTTTCCCTTTTCGGTGTTATGCTGGCTGTGGGTTTGTTACAGATGACTTTTACTACATTGAGGTATGTTCCTTGTATATCAGTTTTGCTGAGGGTTTTAATCATAAAACAATGCTAGATTTTATTCTGCATCTTTTGAGATGATCATGTGATTTTTGTTTTTAATTCTTTTTATGTGGTGTATCACATTTATTGACTTGTGTATGTTAAATCATCCTTGCATCCCTGGTATGAAACTCACTTGATCATGGTGGATTATCTTTTCGATATGCCATTGGATTCTGTTAGCTAGTATTTTGCCAAGGAGTTTTGCATCTATGTTCACAAGGGATATTGGTCTGCAGTTTTCTTTTTTTTCTTTTCTTTTTTTTTTTGTTATGTCCTTTCCCAGTTTTGATATTAAGGTTATACTGGCTTCATATAATGATTTAGGGAAGATACCCTCTTTCTCTATCTTGTGGAATAGTGTCAATAGGATTGGTACCTATCCTTCTTTGAATGTCTGATAGAATTCAGCTATGAATCCATCTGGTCCTGGACATTTTATTGTTGGTAATTTTCTTTTTTCTTTATTTTTTATTTTACTTATTTATTTATTTATTTATTTTGAGATGGACTCTTGCTCTGTCACCCAAGCTAGAGTGCAGTGGTGCGATCTTGGCTCACTGCAACCTCTGCCTCCTGGGTTCAAGAGATTTTCCTGCCTCAGCCTCCCAAGTTGCTGGGATTGCAGGCACCTGCCACTGCACCTGGCTAACTTTTGTACTTTTAGTAGAGACGGGGTTTCACCATCTAGGTTAGGCTGCTCTTGAACTCCTGACCTCTTAATCCACCTACCTTGGCCTCCCAAAGTGCAGAGATTACA